GCGGCCGCTGCCTCATGGGCGGCGTCGCGGGAGGGCACTAGGGAATCAGCCCCACTGCAGGCTTTATTTAAAATATCTTGGCCCAAAGATGGTTGCAGGAAGGCTGCAGGTTTCTGTGGCTGGTGGGATTTTCCCTGTTTCTGCTTTTCTTCCCCTTCTTTGAGGTGTTAGTTGTCCCGAGGTGACAGTCTTTCCTCCTCAGGTTGGGGGAGTCAACAGGCTACTTCAGCTTGTGGTCAGCTGTGCTTGTGAAAAACGACACCCCCTGTTGCACCCTATGAGACTTTTTGGCCAAGTTCGGAGGACAATTGGTGAGTTCTTAATCCCAGCTGTTGTTTGAGTCTTCTTAGGAAAAAAAATGTTGAAGGAAGCCTATGTTATGCCCGTCATTCAAGAACCAAATTTCATTAATTGCAAACCTGTTTTCCCAGTCTGCTCCACAGGACAGCTGTGTCTGTGGTTTATACCTGTCTTTGGCTACAAAGATGGTCAGGAAACTGGGGCACATAATCCATACACACCTCTGCAAAAAGAACTATAGTAGTTCTTTTTTGTAGATTCAGTGGATTTACAAGTGGAAGTAATTCATGAAAAGCCCAATTTATAAGTAAAATTGGAAGGAGAATTTAGTTAATTCCAAAATACATAAGTCCCAAAGCTATCACAACTACCCTTACTTAAAAGAAAACTCTATAAGCTTTTTATCTCAAGCTCAGATGAAAAATGAGGTTTCTCATAGCACAGTGGTCCTATATACCACATTCTCACATTTGTCCAGCACTGACTCAGTACTGCTTGTTTTTATTACTAAATTTTCCTGCAGTATCCTGGGTTTTCTTGGCAAGTATCTCATCCAACGCCTGACCAATTCTTGGATCCTGCCTCATTCCTTTATTTCAAAAACTGCTGCCCATGGTGACAAAACAGCAGGTAATGCTGTATTGTAATGAAAGAAACCATAAAGCTGCCCCTCGGGAAGTAGAGAATTGGTATTAGCATTCCTGTTCTGGATACACATCCTAGCAACTTATTTTCTATTAGAAATAGAGGTTCTATAGAAATAATAACGTTTCTATTTCTAGAGACTCTAGAAACTTATTTTCATACATGCTCTGGTATCCTGACCTCCATATTGGCAATATAAACTGTGAGTTTTTAATTGATGTACTCATTATCTTTTGATTGGAGCAAAATTTTAGAGAAATCAGAGATTTTTTTCTTCCCCTCTCTGCTGAGACTGTGGAGTTTTGATCCAAGGAGTTTCCAGATAGAATAAATGAAAATTTCTCTTTTAATCAAGACTATCTGTGTGTCACTTGGTGCTATGGAGGTCAACCTCTTTTGTACTTTATGACGTTCTTTTCATCAAAGTTTTCATGTTCTCAGGCAGTGGAAAATCCATCAGGTACCTATGAAAAATGAAGGTGGAATTCTACCTTTCCTGCATGTGAATAAGTTATCCAGGGTCAATTCTGCCATGAGTGTCACATGGACTGAAATACTGTCACTTACTCTTCTCAAAACATCCCTTCCTTCTTCTATACAACTCCATAATGAAAGCACTGAACAATTCCTAAGTGCAGGTACTGCCTTGAGCTTAGGGGATGATGATGTATGTTCTTTGACATTAGTGTCCACGTGAGTATATACATTTTGGGTATAATTCCTTGCATATGTGAATGATGGCAGACAGGTTGTTTATCCCCGATGAAAAGATCCCAGGAATGCTAATGTAGAGAGCGTTTTGGAGGTGTTACTTCTACATTTTTTGTGTAAATATATGTTTTTTGTGTGTGTGAAGCTGATTAAACTGATGTCCTTGAAAGAGTTGTGTGCAGGAATTTTAAGTAACTCCTGCTTTTTAATATTCACTCCCTCTTTGGTTTTAATTATTTTGTTCCTACATTTTCCCTTTCAATTTACTAAAAATCTAGAAATGTAATTAGAGAGAGGCTGAACTCAGAGAAAGCTGCCAGCATTTCTACATCATGATTAAATATATCAGCCATCCCTTTAGTGAAAGACTGAAAAACAGGATTCTCATAATTATCTCCCTGTTATCCAGGAAAGAATCTGCAACACGTACGGATACAGAGTTATTGAAAATGCAGCACTAATTAAAATCTCATATAAGCTTCTGATGATCAGGAGAGTATGAAAACAGTTATTTAATTATTTCCTGTATTTGCTATCTTTGTTACAAAAACAAACAAATCCATTCTAAACAAAACCCATCTCCAATCACCAGAGAGACTTAATGAGCCTTTTATATATGCAGCAGTCAAATAATGTGAGTTACTGCATTCACCTCTCCTTATGCCAATAAGAAATCTATGCACCAATTTTCCATATGGAATTCAAAGAGGAATATTGCAGTGGAGCAATGGAATCATTCCTTGGTTTGAAGACGTGGTCACTGTTTGTTTAAATTTTAAAAGGAATCTCAGTATTACTGGCTTTACTATTTCACAGTGAAGTCACATAGCATTTAGCACAGCCATTTAAAAAATGTAATATATAGTAGATTACCCTTCTAATCCAGCTTCTTTCTAGCTTTTTCCTCCATTCTTTTGAAAATATCATTCTCACTCAGTCTGGTATGAAGCCTGTACTGTTTATCTTGTCAAAGGAGTGCTTTGGCACTCGAGCCCACCAGAGGACAGTTAAATGCTGATATGGTTTGTGATGAAAGAAAAAGCTTCTGAGATCCAGGCTTCTTAAAGCCAAGGAAGCCGGTGGATTCTCCAGGGAAGGGAACCTGGGAGGTTTTTCTTCTGCCTTTACCTCTAAATCGACTTTGCAACAAAATAGCAAGTATGGAGCTACATAGAGTCTAGTATTCCAACTTCTGCTTCATTGTAAATAAAATAGTAACTAGCACAATTTCAAAGTTTTGTAATCCTCGGCTTTGCATGGAGTAGGAAAATAAGTGTGTGGGTTTTTTTTTTTCTTTAACTGAAGCATAGAGAAGATAAGCATTTCATCCAAGTTCATGGAAAAAACTATTGCAATAAGGACTGCTTTCAAAACTGATTGCTGTTGATTCCTAAGCATAGATCCAGAAAAGAATATAAGATATAGAAGAATATAGGACAGTATATAAGGCATATATATACAGGTGCCACACATGTAGTGCATTAACTTTAAAGCTCTTCTGCGAGGATGTGCTTGGTGGTAATGGTGGTGTAATGTGCATCTCCACACACAAACCATTGCCAGGTCTGAGCATACAGCTATGCACATTTCTTGTCAGAATCTGCTTTCCTGACTGCAAAATACTGTAAAATAACTTCACTTAGGCATTGCTGCTGTGATTCAAGGCTAGTTTTGCTTGTGAGTAAACAAACATTGTTTAAGAAATTCTTACCTCCTTCGGAAGAACTCTTGACTTGAAGATTTTAATTGCAGGGTACCTATTCATAGTTCTATTTTTACATATGTTGGAAAGGTATCAAAGCTAATTTTTTTTTCGTGGAGGAAATTATACTTTAAAATGCACTATTGTAAGAGAGTGACTCCCTAATGCCTTTGAGTTGATGCTTTGTCTCTCGTTAGAAGCATCTCCTGTCTTCCCTGATGAGCCTGCTCTTGTTTTCAGTGCTGGTTTGCTTTAAGATGCTTTTGATCCTGTATTCATTAAAATCTGATCCTGCTGCCTCCCACCAGCCCTAATGGTCTGTGAAATTATTTTCCTATCTCCAAGATGCTGTTAACTCTGCAAGCATCTTCAGAGTAGAGAAGCTCAGAATATTGTCAAAAGTCCTGCAATTTATTCAAACCAGGCTTTCTCCACAAACAAAAATTAATCTTCAATATTATCACAGCAGCCTTTAGTGGAGAAGTGGGAATGGACTGGAACAGAGTCTCCAGATTTTCATCACTTCTTTTTCCCCTTCTGCAGGTACAGAGAGATAATTGGACAAAGTCTTGAAAATTGAGGATAAACTTCACTCCATATAACAGGACATGAAAGCATGAATCAGCAATAAGGCTCAAATAGCTGAAAAAAATACAGAAGAGAGCAAAAGGTAGGAGACAATGAAGAAGAGGGATGTAGTAAAAGAAAATCGTAGAACTGTGTTTGCTTTGAGAAACTGGAGAATGGAGAAAAGACAAAATGAAGACTGGACCTTGCAGGGAATAAAGACAGAAAAAGAAAAGAGCAGATTTTTAAGAAGATATCCACATTCTGAAAGTCTGGCTTTCAATTACTTTGTGTCAGGATACATAACAGAATGACAGTTTAGTCATTGCCTCTTTTTTTTTTTTGATAAGAGAGAGTAAAGCTGTCAAAACTTGTGCTTTTGATTAGACTATAATGAAGAAGGTTAATACTAGTCATCAATATGCAATTTATTGCATAAATTCCAGCGACTGTTGTGAATTGAATAATGCTTCTCAATAAAATTCTTATACAAGTGAGCAATTTAACCTGGACAGAGCCAGTTTCTTGTTTATGCCTCCTCAATAGGAGAAAAAGGAGTGATTCTAAAACTTTAACTAATAAGCGTCAGGTGCTTGTGCTGCTAAGGGATAGAAACTCAACTCCCTGTGTTTTTCACTCCTGCAGGAGAGGGAGAAAATGATCTCTGTTGTGTGAGTGTACATGAGGGTTGAGATTTAATTGTCTTGTAATGTTTAATTTTAGGTAGGAAACAGTCCTTTGGAGGACAGTTTTATGTCATCAGCTGTAAGATGCTGTTGCAAAATGGACCTGTTACGCTCTCTGTTCATGTTCCAGGTCTCCTGCAAGATTACTGTGTTGTCTCATATAATAGTCAGGTTTTAAAAGGGAAATTACAACAACGTTTGATTAAAAAGTGTGGGTTGCTTTTCCTAGTTTCATCCCCAGACAAAACTCCCTGTGTATGTGTAACATTAGGGAAATCTGCCTTTGCTGTTCCCAAA